CGTAGTTGGGCTCACCACTTGCCCGCTTGCCTCTGACTAAAACGTGAGACCGCTTCAAAGGCCACTTCCGGAACTTCCTGAAGTTTGTGGACTTGGCCTTTCGGGTACTGTAGCAGCTACGACCTTGACCTTTCAGAATACCTACAGCTACGACCTCTATAGAGTTGTGACCCCTACTCGACAGACCTATGGATCGAATCCCTACATCCACATAGTCCTATGACAAACAAACAACAACTAACGAAACACAGGTCACGGGTTCAACACTCAAGGGTCAACTCGATACTGTACATGGGTAAGGTAAGGTCTGGTGATCGAACCCTGGGATCTGCATCTGCCTCTGCAAAGGTGAAAACCGTTTCACTCCCGCCGGCCTAAATTCGAGGTCCTCCGAGAATAACTCAGTCCAAGGCAGGACCTTTACCCTTCTTTTCTCGCTCGTAGGCTCTCACTACGTCGGGAGCTGATTTTAGCAGTTCAATCCTAGTAAACCAGCGATCGTCCTCGGGTTCCTGGTACGCAAATCGAACCTTATACTGCTTTTGTGGACGACCTCTACCTCCTGCTCTGAATACGTCTTCACCTACAATGCCGTCAATGTCGTATCTTCCATCCATGTCCGGAGGGATCATGGATCTTCTAGATTGAAATTGTTGGCTTGTGATACATGGTAACAACTTTGACGCATGAAACACGGGGTAGGTATGGAGGTGTGCTGGAATCTCTACTGTGTAGGACGGTCCATCCTCTCCGCCCTTGACTTCTAGGACTGACCACGGTCCTCTATATGTTGGCAATAGCTTTTGTGATATGTTCTCCTCAGGAGCAAATTCTTTACACTTGACCCAGACTAAGTCGCCTACTTGACACTGCAATGGGCGACGGTGCTTGTTGGCTTGCTCTATCATTCTATGTTGGGCCTTCCTGAGGTTCTCTACAACGGTAGCTAACTCTTTCCCGTGCTGTAATGCAAACTCCCTAGTACCGGGCGGTAGCCTTTGAATCTGATCCCGATTAAGTCCTTCGGACGGCCTGCGTGGTCTGAAAGACTTATGTAGCTCGTTGGGAGTGCGACATATGGCTAAATGCACGTTGTTGTTATAAGCACTGGCTACCTTTGGGAGCATCTCATCCCAGTTAACTTGATCAGGTCTAATGTACATCCTCAAAACTTGTTGCAGGACCTTATTCATTTGTTCAGTCTGACCGTTAGTCTCTAGATGACGGCAAGATGACATCAGCAACTTGGAGCCATAGACTTTCATCAACTCCTGCCAGTTCTGACTAGTGAACCAGGTGTCTCTATCACTAACTATAGACAGTGGAATCCCGTGTTCACTGTCCCAATGATCAAAGAACTTTTGAATAACTAATTTTGTGCACGCCTCTGAGGGCAAAGGAACAAAAACAACATACTTACTGAACCTGTCAACTATTACCATGACTTGGCTCTTGTCGTGCCTACTCTTGACATGGGTGTCCATAAAGTCAATGGACACTGAATCTCTTGGCTGATCAGGAATAGGCAAGGGCCTGAGAAGACCTAGAGGGGCACGCGTAGAGGTCTTATTTCTCTTGTAGACCTTGCAACTGCGAACATACTCTATGCAGTCGGCCTTCATCCCAGGCCATATGTATGCGCGTATGAGGTTAGCTAGAGTCTTTTGTCAACCAATATCCCGCAGTATCGTGGCATTCCCCTAGGATCAAACTACCGATCTCTTCACTGTTAGGAACGCACAATCGGTCGACTACGTTAGTCTTCTCGAATAGCAGCCCATCAGTAGTGCGGTAGTCTGGTTCGGACTCTAGGGCCTCCTTTACTCTCTTGAGGAGGTCACCATAGATAGGGTCCTGCGCATAGGCCTCTCTAACTTTCTGCCGCAGGTCTCTCCCTATATCCAAATAATGAACTATTGCTCCAAAGTAGTCAACTCTCCTACTCAGAGCATCCACAACTACATTATACTTCCCTTTGACTGGCTTAAGCTCAAAGTCATATTGGTCTAACTTTGTGGCCCACCTAGTAAGCTTAGGTGTCATCTTGGCCTGCGAGTTCAGCCACCTTAATGTCTCGTGGTCTAAGTAGACTTTGGAGTGTCTCCCAAGCAAGTAGTGCTTCCAGTGTTCTAATGCTTGCCTGAGAGCGTAGAGTTCCCTCTCGTAGGTAGATGTCGCTACCTTCTCTTAAGGCATCCTAGCAGACATGCACTCTACGGGTCTATATTTGTTGGCATCGTCTTGCTGTAATACAACACCTATACCATACTGGCTCGCGTCAGTGGTGACGACGAAAGGTAAGGACGGATCGGCTACCTTAAGGACCGGGTACTCTATCAACGCCTGCTTCAACTTCTTCATAGAAGACGTGCAGTCCTTGTCCCATCTCCAGATGGTTTCTTTCTTCAACAACCTGCGAAGGGGTGCAGCGATGGTGGAGAAGTTTCTCACAAACTTCCTATAATAGTTAGCTAGGCCTAAGAACGACCGCAACTCTGTCAACGTACGGGGTGTAGGCCAATCTCTAATCGTTGCGATCTTACTATCTTCTGGTTTGATGCCGTCTCCGTCTAAAACATGGCCTAAATACAGAACTTGGGTATTTTCCCATTCGCACTTCTTTGCGTTGATCTTGAAGTTAGCCTCTCTGAGCTTCTCCAAGACCTGCCTTAGATGACCCTCATGTTCTTGGAGGGTCCTACTAAACACTAGAATGTCATCTAAGTAGACTACTGCAAACCTGTCTAACCACGACCTAAACAAGTCATGCATACAACGCTGAAAAGTTGTTGGCGCATTGGTTAGTCCAAAGGACATAACTATAAACTCGTAGTGTCCATATCTAGTCTGGAACGCGGTCTTATACTGATCATCAGGATGAACCTCTATCTGATGATATCCGGACTTCAAGTCTATCTTTGAAAAATACTTGCAGCCCTACACCCGATCTAAAAGATCATCTATACGGGGCAAAGGCTCCGCGTTCTTCACGGTGATAGCATTGAGACCCCTATAGTCAATGCACAACTCTCCCTCCTTCTTTGGGACAAATAGAACAGGTGCTCCAAATGGAGACGAACTGGGCCTAATCGAACCCTTCTCTAGGAGTTCATCTAACTGCTTGCGCAACTCCTCCAATTACCGCGGGGGCATCCTATACACTGGTCCTTTAGGAGTCCTGCTGCCAGGTTCGATCCCAATGCGATGCTGGATGGGCCGCGGGACTACCCCTGTAGGCGGCTTAACTAGATCTGTGTCTTCTTCCAGCAGCTTGGCAATAACGGGATCTATGGGCTTTTCTTTTTTAGGCTCAGTAACTGGCCTAACATAGGCTACAAAAACCTGTTCTTCTAGCTGCTCCTTCTTCACCAACCTCGCGAATGCAGAAGCGCTAAGGCAGGGAGTTGTCTACTCCTAACACATGAAACAAACGGGCAGTCTTGACCCCGCCTGACGGGCTAGGGAGCATACACTCGTGCTCTCTCAAATGGAGCGTGGCCCCGACTGCCTCTCCCCAGTCCATTCCTAAGACTATATCGAAGGGAAGGCTATCCTCTATGAGGAGAGTCAGAGAATGGAGAACTTTCTCCACTTTCCCATCTTTCTCTAGGCGAAAGTACGCCTGGACTCCCTCACGTAATCCTCTATTGATTGTCTGCGAGGATACTCACTATGGGGTCTGTTGACTTCTGGACTTTTAGCCCCAATTTCAACTTCTGCAGCGCCTTTCTACTAATATAGCTGCGCGTGGCCCCACTAGCTACTAGGGCCCCTACTCTCTACGTCCACTAAAACTAGTTGTCCCCTACTCTCCTTCTTCATCTTGGCCCAGGCGGGCATTCTCTCCTTTAACTCATCGGCCACGCCTGTGAGGGAAGTGACTAGAGAGACTCTGACACAAGCCGTCTCTGGACAGCTATCTAGGCACCGGCCTGCAACCTCTGCCATCGACACATGTGGTGTGGGAGTTTCTTGTCGGCTCGCCCTCGCTTCCCCGCATGGCCTTGTGGTAGGGGCAGTTGCTACCCCTACTGGCGGTTGCCTTTTGACCCCTGGGCAGCCGAACAGGCCTCTCTATACTTTGAATAATATTTAATGATGTGGCCAGGGTCACCGCAATATATGCACTGCCCCTGATCCACACGTTGTTGCCATAAGCGCTAGTCCAAGCCCAAGTCTTCCCAAGGCCGACCCTGTGGCAGCCCTGGGTGCCAACCGCCTCTCCAAGAGGGTGCCCTATTTCCCCTATTCGGTGACCTATTCCCTCTATTAGGTGACCCATTCCCTGAACGGTTTTGCGGGGGATCTTGAACCCTTCCTCCCACTTGGCAGTTTCCTCCTCTACCGCCAACCCCCTGATCGCTCTGGGAACGACCCCCTGAGGCCCGACCCCCTTGGCCCTGGCCTCTACCTCCTCCTTGCGGCCTCCCTCCACCCGCGACAGCAGCATAGGTCCTCCCCTGACTAACACTATTGTCCTCTTCTTCAAGCCCCCACTCAATCAGCTCGTAGGGGACTTCGTGTACACCACCCTCATCTAAAGTAAGGATCAAGCGATCCTTGGTCTTGACTTGTCCTGAGATGGTGCGACCTTTCCACTTTTTTCCCTTGTCTAGGTCCTTATGCCAAAAAGTGGAGATTGACATGGACCACACTTCAAAGGCTACCAGTTCCCTGCTCAAAGCGTCGTCGGTCATGGTAGGCTGCTGACTCTTCTCAAAGAAATGCCCGCGCAACTCTTCGGGCATCGCACGATAGAAGAGGTTGACCAATTGGGTCTCAGTGACCCCATGGTCCGGGACGGCGACTAGCTCGTCCATCAGACCCTTGAGTGCTCTAGCACTCTTCCACTGGTGAGAGTGGATGGTTTGCAATCTATCAGAGGCTTTGACACTGCGTGAGACATCTGCGAATCGTTCACGTAGTAATTTAAGGAAGCCAATGAGGGGAGTGAACGCATAATAAGCAATTAAATCATCATTACAGTTGGCGGCGTGACACAAGTAACGTGCGAAGCTCGCTGCTTCGTCTCGGAGGGCATGGATGGCTATAAGGACATGCTCGTCCGGGGAGACCTTCTACAAATGTGCATAGGTTTTGACATTGGCTTCCCAATTGTCAAAATTATCCTCTTTCTTCTCGCTATCGGAGTCAGGGAACTTGACCTTCACAAGCTCCCTTCGGGGATGTGCTTCCTCCTCCTTGGGAGCAGTCAATCTGGCGCCTTCTATGGCGCCCATGCAATAACGCTCCGCACCCTCTAGGCGGACCTTCCCCTCTGAGCCCACTTGCGTTGCTAATTCCCTTGCAAAGTCCCCAAGTCCCAGCCGTACAGAGCGCAAGGCAATGTCCTGACCTCTACCAAACAGATATTGTCCTTCCTGGACCTGGGCCAGGTGCTCTATGTTTCTCGCCATGATCTCCATCTTCCCTAGTAGGTCCACCTGCGTCGCCATCTGCGCTTTTTGCTTCTTTACCTCCTCCAATGCTTTCGCCGCCTGGCTCGCAGCCTCCATTCTCCTTTTCTTCTCCCTCGTCAGTCGAAACTTCCACTCCATCCTCTTCTCATCTTCTATAGCCTGCCGCTTGAGTGGGTCTTCTTCTGCATCCCACTCTCTTATGGCTGCCTCTTGTTCTTCCCTGGGCACATACATTAGTGCCTCCTCTTCTTCTCCCAGGGATAAACCAGCAACCCACTCCGTAATCTTCTTCTCCATCTGATCTTCCTTTGTTCCACTGGATTCTCCTCTCCCTCCTGTCCTTCGCCTTTCCAGTGGCGGTTCTTTTTCCTCTTCCTCCTCTTCTACTGCCTTGAGCTTCTCTTCTTCTTCTTTCTTTAACCTCTCTTTTTCTCTGGCCATCTCCTCCTCAATCTTCTTCAACTTCGCCGCCTGTTCTTCTATCAAGGCCTTCTTCTTGGCCTCCTTCTTCTCTCTTCTCTCTTTCAGGATGGCAACGGCCTTCGCATCCTGCTCTGCTGTATAAGGGGAGGTGCTTGTTCCTGTACGCGTGTCTACCATGGTGACAGATGCACAACCAAGTGACGGTTCCACTCCTCACCACTTAGACGTCCCCCCTGACCGACTTACTTAAGATTGACTCAGTCTATGGACCACAGGATCCGTATAGAACCTTGTCAACTATGGTCTCTAGCCTGGACTCTAATACTACAACCTTCACTACAGGATTTGTTGCTGACCAGGAGGCATTTAAGGAGATCCCCCGTAACTCCTCAGGAATTCTTTAACGTCGCAAATAGGACGACGTGGTCAGCAGATCCCCTCCAGGCTTAGACGGCCCGTTGTGCAGCCCACAACTCGGATTTTTGGCCTACCGTGCCACACCAAGCAGCCCGCCGGTCAGTACCGGTCCTTGGGAGGGTTCGTGTCCTCCGGGACAGTCGAGTCGTCAGACACAGTCTTTAGCCCTACTCAGCCCGTGTGGGTTTGGTCAACGAGGCCCTATCCTTCATACACGGAGTCCTATCACTTGGACAGAAGAGACTCCATGCAGAAAGAAGAGACAAACAAACCCAGACTCAGCAAGTACCATAGGGTGAGTGCACATCCATAGGGTGAGGGGATAGGCTAAGGGCTTGGCGAGATTATACCAACTCCAGCTTGGTCAAA